AATTATATCTTAGATTATGAACTAGGTAATGGCATTAGCATTAAAACCAAAATTATGAATCAAGGTTGACAACTGAGGTAGATTAAACAAAACGTTGTATTTCCAGAGAAGTTTGTTTTATTTTGTGTTTTAAATGGCAATTCCAACCAGTTTCAGTAACATGAGTAAGTAATGATCCATTGAAGATTAAGAGCCCTTAAAATCATCCTTAATGGCTGAAGAAAAACAGGCGGCAAGCACAAAAATACAAGAAAGTGGTATAAACTAATGGAATGCCATTCGTCTGGTTGTCTATGGTTACTGCTAATCAAACACCTATGATGTATATGAACTACTAACACCCAGTTTTGCGTTATGCTAATCGTTTACTTATTGTGCATACTAAGTAGGTGCCAGACTATACCAATTGAACCTGACTCTTCGCAAAACCATCGTCGACTTAGGGACGGCAAGGGCAGACGCAGAACCCAATGTTGGGAGGGGATATGCGCATTCTTATTCGGGGGAATTTCAAGTCATTTTCTTCCGAGTATAGTCACAAGTTATTTTTGCTTCCAAGTCAAGTACGGAATCATGCCAAAAAGTCGTGACTCTAGTCTGACAATTCAACTGAAGGCCAACAACATGCCCTTTAAATATGGCTGTCGCATTGGCTTTAACGCACGAGAAATCACCGTCATTCATAATAATATACTGAGCAACGGTTTGATTAAATGCAGTGCCATTTTGCCAGAAAGTCAAGAGTTTGCGACCTTTAACCATTCTGGCCTTTCCTTATTGCAAAATAAATAAATAAAATTAATTCATACAAGGCAACTCTGGGTTCATCGATATTTTTCGATAATTGATATATCGGAAATCTGATATTAAGTACAGGCCCTATTCCATATACCGAATATTCCCCATGTACAGCAAACTCTCAACTCAAAACTGTAAACTCGAAACAACTTTTTCCTCGAAGTTACACTTCATTAACGTCAAGATAATAGGATATTATGTGCATAAACACCTTCATAATTTGAAATTCCCGCATGGTACCTCTGTTTTTGTTTTACCAATATAAAAGTAGTCGCCGCGAAATTGTAAAAGACAAGTGTAAACAGATCGGGAAACGGGAAACTTTAAGTTATACAAGTTCTCCCCAACACATCTCGTCCTTCCACGCTGGGAAACGGTGCAAACATCACACAGTACATTAACTTTGTGATCGAACGTGTCACCTTATCGCTACCGCTAACCCAACTGAAGAGTGCGCACTGGCTCCCTGCGTTGGCCATGTGACACCAATAGATACCTAGCTTACGAATTGGCCTGATCGTTATCACTGGCCCAAATGCAGTTCATGGTTCGTGCGGGTAAAATGTGACCTGTCACCACAAAATGAAGTGAAAGTTGGAATTTTCAAAAACTGAGATATTGTATTTCTAAATTCAGCAGAAAGAGAGCTTTTCAATGGCATGTACCACTTAGGGAAAACTATAAAATGCCATTATTCTGGCAGCTTTGCATCTTTGTTCCCAACATTTGTTTCAACATTTCAGACCAGGCATGAATAAATGCTATCGTCAAAATTGCTGAGAAAATTACATTTTGAAACACGTGGTTCTGCGAAATATTTGGAATTAAATAGAAGACGGGTTACTTTTTCCAAATATTACAAAACCCCAAAACTGACCACCACTTCAATATGACTTTGAACCCTCAAAACAGAAAAGAGAGGGAAGCAACTTTACTTTCATTTGGAAGTGACAGGTCACAAATAACAAAAACAATATTTCGACTGAAAGCTACACCATCCGAGTCAACCAACGGAAGAAAATTTGTCAGTTTTAATGTTTCAGCATGGCAATGGAGGCTACTTATTCCACATTAAATGGTGAGAACACGAATTAGACGTCGGTGCTTCCAATTTTACAATGTTTTATTTCCAGTCACAATCACAATTTCAAGGCAAACTTAATATGCCAATCAGATTTACTGACCTACCCTCGATGTTTTTATAAATTATTATTTCCAATATCAAGCTTTCGATATTTTGATGTGATTAAAAATTTCACATCTGCGATATCGATTTTAAGTAATATCGAATAATCGAGTAACATTGATACTCGACGGATCCTAGTGGTAACCCTGGAAATGAGAAACGGAAAAATCTTAATCACATAAAAATAATCAAATGGTAATGACTTGTAATGAATAATTTTTAGGACGTTACAGTCTCCCATCCAGAGAGTTCAAAGGCGCGTTAGCTGAAGGAGAAGACAAGATAATTACGTTAGTATTGATCGGAATCACGCCCTCAACTCACACATTTTAAAGAGTTTGCCGATCGTATGTGCGGGGAATTTATTCTTATACCAAACGGGCACGACACATTTCTCGATTTAATCAGTAGAAAGAAATATGCAATTTGAACTGTTTTCCATCATGGACAATTGCACTCAGACGAGCCAGCTGGTTATAAGTGGGAATAACGCCGTCCTCTTTAATTGTAACCATACCAAAACATCAAATGGTACACCAAACCTCGAGAGTCAGGGCTAACAAAAACTACAAGCGAAAAAGTGGTTTCAAATTTACATGTTTATGTTTTAGATATTTCTCCTCAAAATGTTCTTTAACTTTCATGTTGATACCAATAAAACAAAAATATAAAGGAAACCAAATGTTTATGGTCTGTTTTCCTTGATTTCAGCCCTAATGAGATGTTTTGGGGATACGCACTCACGCAGAAATATGGTTGGGGAGCAGCTCCTGAAGCCAGGGACATAAATTAATAAAAGTTGAGGTCATTGATTTTAATGTATTTGGTTTCTTTCAATTCACACGAGGACGTTCACTTAAAACCCAAAAGGCGAACTTTTAGTCGATTCTACCAACAGACAACCAGTTCACAATCAATTCGTCATTTTCGTTACCTAAATTGTCCAATATAGGTCCCTGTAGCCACGGTCTCGGTATAATCGTGTTACAAGTGTCTACCTGCCGCAAACCCCATTCAATTTTACAAAGGTAGTTCAGTTGCCTCAAATTACGAAAGACACAATTACCGTAATGCAAAGCCTTGAAGTATCTGAGTGCTTAGTTCACCTCCAATTTGGTCATCTTCAGCCTGTAATTGGTAAGGCCTAGCAAATTCGGTATGTAGCGGCTAGAGTCGCTGCTAACCCAAAAAAATCAACCAACAGTAAATTGTTTGAAAACGTCTCCGTGGTAACTGCAACCTGGTGCGTGAGAATTACGAAAGTGGAATTAATCTCGCTATCTGCATCTGCACAGGTTTAATCTTTAATTGGAACTTTCACTACTCTGAAGACCACTTTGCTTGAAGTTCAAGAGGACGGACATGAGATTCCTAAAAGCCATACAGCCGATTTATTCCATCGTTTCCGTCTAGACAATATAACTGAACTAGGAACATTCTTCAGGTTGACGTCGACAGCGGCTGCATAGTCTTGCCAGGAAGCACTGCACTGAAAGCAGTGATGTAGAAAAATGATCGACCACCATGTGGCAATGTGACATGTTTGCATTTTAATTAACAAGGCATTTACATTACGGGTTTTGCTCTTGAGGGGTTTTGCCCCTTTCAAGTACATTTAAAAAGGCTCAACCGTGCAAGTGTGTTGAACACCAAATGAAAATTTTCACTACATCCCCAGCCAACGTTCATGCATGACTTACGTGCAAGAATAGTGGAAGAAGTCAAAAACCCCCATCAAGACCCTGAAATGATCAGATGAACAGTAAGGGACATACGAAGATATCAGATGTGCATTGACAGGAATGGTGGCCATGTGGAGGGCACAGCACATTAAATATTAAAAGGTAAGTAGCGAAAACAAAGCAGATAAGATTGATTTAGGTACATTCCTTGTTTTCAAGAATGTGTTCTTAAAGCAAAGGCATTTGGTATTCTGCACCCTTGCATGCTTGAGCCTTGTTAATCAAATATGCAAACTTGTCACAGTGCCGATTTCAGTGCCCTTAACATCGGTCTAGTTTGCTCACTCATCTGCCCTTTCTAGAGATCTTTCCAATATATAAAGTAGTTTGCCGTTACAGTAGTTTTTATCTCGGTATACCTTTAAGTACGGGACACCCTATAGGGTCTGTTTGACACCGTCAACCACAGATCGTTTGAAGTGACGTCGAACATTTTCCGTAATACACCTCTTCGACGATTCCACTTTTGATGTTAGGCTGTAAGACTAGGCCCCGCATCCCGCAAAATATATGGGGACAGGTAACTAATTGTCTTGGCCCTTGATTTCGGGTGTAAATTTATACAGTTAGAGTCATTTGAATATTACATCAGTGTACGTTAGTGTGTCTTGATTTGATTGTAAGGTACAGGAGGTGGAAAATGATACACACCTATGCTGAACCCGAAAAAGACAAAAGGAATGCAGGTGAAATTGAGAGTGTTACACATTAGAAAAATGAAATTTTGGTTCTGCCAACTTTAAGGGTCTTTCAGGGCCCTTTTATTTTCACACGGATGTCAATTTCTTTAATTTGGTGTGTTTATTGTGGTAAATTGTCACACGAAATACCACAGACACTGTGAATAGATGAACCGGTAAAATGTAAAACAGAATAATAACTGTATGCAAGGGTTGGCCTACGATTTTCATTCAAATAATTCAGATGTAGATTTTGGTAGAAAACATAGTTTACCAGGAAATTCATTTCAAGGTCCCTTTACAAGTGACGGTCACAATGAACTTGGGATCGAAGGAGATGATTTTATAACTCTTCTCCAATCAAAAATGAAAGGCTGCAGTTGTTCCAAAATTTGCAACGGCAAACATGAGCGGAGCCAAGCTGCACACGCCTAGGTGTAGCTCGGAACGGATCCAGACTCGATTAACAGTCACTCATTTCAGCATTGAAGACTTAATATCTAATGGGTGATGCAAGAGGCTACATTCTCAGTAGCGACTTGAATAAAGACTAAATCGCTCCTACAATGGTGAACGAATTATCGTTATACTAACCGTGCTAGACACCTCTTCATCGTGGATGAATTATGGTTCTTTGTCTTATTTGTTGAGCAATTACTCCTTCCATTCGCCACATCCTATTCCAACAGTCTGTAGACCAAAAGAGAGAAGTACCCGTATCACATGACGGCCATGAAACTCCAAGCGACAACATCGTCTTGTGCGCGAATCTCCAACCATCCCTAATGCACGCTGCCAGACACCCCGCCGTTCGCGTGCTGCAATTGAAAAGGCGGGAAGGACATGGTTTACCGCGAAAAGGTCAACATCCGGGCACTTCAGCATTCACCATAGTAACGCCTTCATAAAGCGCCTATTGAGGCATGATGGCGTATATCTGACGCAAAACACGCACATTTACTCTTCAAAAATAGTTACGTCTTTATGAGTGCGGTCCGCTTGTAGTAAACACCGTTTGCCTTCAGGGAATCTAACAAATTTTAAGGTTACGACTGATTAGTCGATTTTTTTTCTTTACGAAAGCCCATTCTTCAGCAAACATCGTGGACTTGTTTCCGTCCTGTCTCCACTTTTTGTTCGGGATGGTAGCAAAGGCTTAGTAGACCTGAAGAAGTCGTGTGTTTTTGCCATGTATATTGTACAATGTCTTGTAAATGAATTTGCATAAATATAAATGAAATACCCAAAAGTTCTACGGGTATACTTAATAAGAAGACATGGGACATTATGAAACAGATATTTCTACATAATCTTGGAAAGCTGAAATGTCTTCTGAATTGTTCTTGTGAGCCATTTTATTTTTTAGCGAGAGCCTATTCTATGTCAGAAAATTGTCTGGTTGTGTATTAATTCTACGTTTATTTTTTTCAAGCCAAAAACGCACAAAGATTTAAGCACAAGGACATTCGCTGATAAAATCGCGAATTCCTTATGCCTCTATAGCCAATCAAATAATGTAACTAATGATTGAAATATTCTAGGGGATGGGCTGACATGCAAATATAGCACTGAAATTGACAAGTCAAGAAGCCCCTGCTAAGTGAGGCGATTTAGTACCACACATTTCAGATGCCCTGCGATAAGTTAAATAGCTGCTCCATGCAAGAATTACATGTACTTACGGGTTCTCATCCCAATTGTCATCATAAGTATCCATTCATGGCACGTCAAACATTGAACCAGATTAACCTCTTTAACTTTCTAGTACAACACATTCCGAAATGCTTTATTCTCGGTCGACAAACTCTTTGAAATCCTAAAGGTGCCGCACTATTCTCGTGTCAGCTTCAAGCCTTCCAACATTTTCCTCGTGACTGCCAAACGGCGCGGCGGCTGCACGCATTCCTGTCGGCGAATCACCTCAAAACGACTTCAGGGGAGCCAACCATGTCATTCACTTGCGCTATTGTCTTGTCCCTAGTGATATCAAACGACCCTACTGTCATCGTTTGGGGTGAATTATGCATGATTAATCAGACCCTCGTTTTCCCAAAGTGTCCATTTCACAGTAACAACCACCCATCTCATATGCAGTTTGTTTCCACGATGGTCCAGCATCAACACTGTAGGTGCTTGCGATAGTTGGAAAGATTTGACTGGATTTAACGAGGAGACTATCACAGTAACGTGATACGTTGTCAGCCCATGACACGTTACTTTTACAGGACCAAAAAGCACTAACAACGTAACACTGTAAACGATGAACCTCGACTGCAAAATGACAAGATTTTACAGTTTTACTAATAATTCATAACTTTGATATGGACCAATGCATTATATTCTGCTGTATATATGCTGTGCTGCCGAATGACTTGAAATTTTCTGTCTCCAATGATAACTTAGAATGCAATGGAACTTCTTTGTATAAAGGGAGAACATTCCACACCAAAAATTGCATCAATCGGTGAAAATTGATACTGTTCATGTTTTCGAGAAACGTTGTAAGACAGACACATCGACACTCTCAACAAAAAGACGACCAAAAACAAACGGCAAGCAAGGTCACTTCCAGGCTGAATGGATTATGAGAGTCAAAACAAAACAGTGGTTCTCGGCCCACTGTTGTTGGTCACGATTGTGTACCGGACCCGCATCCTCAACACACATTTTGAGAGACTCCATACATACAGGTTAAATGCGTAGCTTATCACAAACCATACAAAAGTTAATTCAAAACAGAACTGCTTTGTATATATTATGCACAAGCTTTTCAAGACCCTTTCTTTTACGAGCTGTTAACCAGAGATCGATATCCTTGTCATCGTATGCGTTTCGTGCATATTTAAAGATAAACCAAGAGGACGACCTTAACATCCTCTGCTCTGCTCACAGTGAACTAGGGGTAACGTTCTTCGCGTTTCGCCCAGGGATGGTAGACATGGTTTGCATTGAACTGCGGTTTAATACTTCATTTTTGTTCTAACAAACTATTCCTCATTCTCAATAGATTAGTTTAATCACAGTGCTCATTATACAAACCAATGGTTATCTCCTTCCTACATTATGTTTTCGCACAAACGCAGTAACATTTTTATTACAAGAATAGTCTCTTATCTCAAACATTTTCCTTATCTAGTGATTATGTGAAGAAGAGATTGTACCTTTTCAAAATTAAAAGGGAAAAATCTCAATTAAATATTACGCTTTCCCTTTCGAAATCGTAAGCGTGATGCTTTCCGAGAACTTGAGAGGGAAATTCACAATTTACCAAAGTTGGCATCGAACCTACAATTCCTGTCAACAATTGCGAGTCTAATGAGAACAGTTCATCGTATCGATTGTAACATGTCAACACCAATTACTTAACAAAAAGTGCTTTTTAAAGGGCAAAAGTTTGCATTCCAATCCCTCTCCTTGCCTTACGTGCAAACGCCTCCATTCGTCATTCTGCCAATATTCCTATCTCCAATCACGCACTTTTGACGTTTCCTATCGAACCACATCTACGGGAGTTTGTGATTACTAGTCCTTTCTCTCACCACAAGTTGAAGAGGAAACACAGTGCACTGTGGGATACATATGTTATGGTGGTGTTGACTTGTTCAATACTGACAGCTCAAAGAAGTGACAGTGACCGTCGCCCTTTGGTATGGCAGCGTTTTAAAAAAGCATATGACGTCGGATGTTTTTGCATAAACAGGAATGTTCCAGCTGCTTTCCTATTCCCGTTACATTAAAGTCCTTGTGTAACGACAGCCGCAGAATGTTCAGCCCATAGGCAGCCCACAAACAGCATGTGTTCGGTTTAAATATAGATCTTTCGTTACCTTATGACATTATAACCGAACGGTAACTTTCATTTGTGGCCAATCTTTCTCTGACGACACACGTACTTCGTGGTGAAGGCAGGCGTTATATGCATTGGTGCCAGACTAAACGGCTGTTCTGTGGAAGCTTTTCTATGCCATGCTCAACGAGGTTTATCTGAATCACATTTTCCAATGGGATGGCGCTCGATTAGGCATCGGGTCTAACAAGCATTGTGTGTATTCCAGGATCCAGCACAATTGCAGTTTTCCATGCAGGCAATATGGTGCATATCACGTGGAACTTCACAGCGAGGTTTAATCATTGGAAATTTCACTGAACCATTCGAAAGTCAGTGAGCTATTCCCAGCGGGCGTTTTTCAAATTAATGTTTATCGATCACAATTATACTGTTGGTGGACAAGGGACGGTAAAATGATCTCCTTCATATCAAAACATCCGAAATTTGTTAAATAGCTTCAGTGTTTTGACATTGGTTTAGAGGTACTTTACGGAACTATTTACAAGCTTCAATTGAGCAGCCAAGCACGTGAAGAAAATGTACATTGTACAGACAGTGAAAAACCCTGGACAATCCTATGAGGAAATTGATACTAATAAATCGCCGTTACATTTCCCAACATTTTTCTGAGTATTAGGGTAACTTACGGAATATTTTTTGGGTGTAGAAATGAGGTACCCTTTCAGAACTATTTTCCTGGCCGTAAAAACAAATTCAAGCTATTTTCCCTGAAATAGATGTGACTGCTCAAAATAACAAGAATGGCCTCCACTTTCTCTTCGTATTCCTGTCCTTTTCTGAAACCAGACATGCCATTGAAACTATGATTTTATAATTTCCTTTCAAACTGTGCAACATGGAACTACAAAGTTTCGAGAAAAACGTGTAAAATGACAATTGAGTTCGATTATTTTACAAATTAATTAAAATCGTCTTTTGACGAGCCAACTTGCATAGATGACCACGATCGTTGAAGTGTTTTTTTTTAATAAAATGGTAAATGTTATAGGCCTACACCGGGGACCAATTAAAAAACTTCACCGAAAAAATTACACACGTCCTCAGATGATTCTTCCTTACTAATGCATATCACCATCGACTTTAACAGGTCTGTAGTAATTCTGCAACCATGGGTTCTTTTCTAGAGGTATTAACCTGGTCAACTTTACTATTTTGAGCTTACTGAATGGAAATTCAGAAGCAACAGTGGGAACATATCTTACCTGAAGACATCACCTAAGCCCAAGCGACCCCAATAAAATCAACATGAATCGCAAATGCTGAACTACCAGCGGCTATGCACTCTCACGTCGCTAGGTCCTCAAAGCCTTTAGCACGAGTCCTCGGAAGCACAGGGAAGATATGGCACTGCCATTAAATTGCCTGTACCGAACATCCAACCTCCTCACTCTTATACTATACAACTTGATAATAATAATCCTGGCAACAACATACGTGCAAAACTTCAGGTTTTGTGCTGTGAATATTTGTCACTTCCAGAAAAAAATCGGCCTTTAATTTGAAATAGCTCCTAAACTGGGGTGGGATCGTTGGTGATTCGGTCGAATAATTCCTTTGACCAAAAAGAAATTCCGCCTAAACTTTTAGGCGGAAAATATTTAATACACAAATATTTAAACAAATTCCTGAAAAAGGCGAAGCATGATTTGAAATCTATATCTTGAAAACTTGTCCGATAAACATTTCATACTAATTCAATGAAACCACCAGTCAACTCTTTGCATTAGGTTTTAAGGGTCCATTTGCGACGCACTCTGTGAAAATGTGTCATAAGTCGCCAGAGCCACTTTTTGAGTTTTCATTTGAATTGGAAAGAACAAATTGAGGTTTTTGTTTTAAAGTATCACTCAGTTTGGTATTCTGATGAAAGTGGATACTCCATGGTGAAAAATGCTGTGGGTTCCTGTTGAATTACACTGTGCAAAATTATTCTAAAGGACGTTTTACTCCAAAGTGAATTTGGCGACT